CCAAAAGATAATTATAGAGGCAAGCTCTGAATGGTTAGTTTATTATAACTCTTTTTTAAAGTGTAAAATAAAATTAGTGTGTTTGCCCTTTAATCGATAAATTAAGGAAAATTTAAGGCTGTCATTAAACTGCCTATTTTTTATCTAATTTACTTCCTCAGTAAGTCTATATTTACTCTAGTAAAGGCTACACACACACACACACAAAAGACTCTTCACAGATATTTCAGTCTACTTTACAAAGCTGAATATAAGGTAATCATGAAGATTAGATAAGTGGCATTCCTTCCATCTGCAGTGTGCTTTTCAAAGTGTGGTCCTTTGACCAGCATTACAAGCATAACCTGGAAACTTGTTAGAAACGTACTTTTTGAGGCCCCAACCACTTTCTAATCAAAATCTCTGATCTCTGGGCCAGCAGTCAGTGTTTAACAAGGCATCTAGGAGATTCTGATGCATGCTCAACACTGAGAACCACTTCTCTAACCATATGCTACCTTGATAGAGTAATATTATTAATAACATTATTAGTAACATTATTAGATGGCATTTCAAAGTTTAAGATTATTTAATCAGTAGAAGGCAGTGCAGTAATTGTTAGGACATTTTATTAAATTTATATAGTCAAGTAACAAGCATATAAATATTAATATATAGATTATAATCTGTTGACCAAAATATGTCTAGAAAAATAAAAGTGCTATACTAAGTGGTTTTTCAAGTCACCATGAGTATAAGGAATTTCTCACATTTACATTTAGCTAGTATGTGTCTTGTACACATTTAAATATCATTGCCTGTTAGCAGTAACATTTTTTAAGATTGTTTTCCTATGAAATTAAAATGGATCTATATTTCATTGACAAGTTTTCTGGGCTATAAAATCATTGTTTATGACACGCTTTTTTTGCAATTTGAGCAGTCTTTGAGGCATTTTCAGACTTTAATGTTACCTGGAAAGTGTCATTGATGAAAGAAAAAGATCACATTAAGTGATTTTCCATAGGCGGTTTCATAGTTTAGAAAGTATTTTATAACTTTCCTAGTTTAGAAAGTATTTAGAAGTTAAAGATGAAATGTTCTAAATCCAATTAAACCTTATTATTTTGAACTGTAGTGGATCAGAAAAGGTTATATATGAAGTAAGAACATAAACTTCTGCTATTCCTCAAGGAAAAAAAGAATTTGATAAATAAATAATGTATAAGAAAATTAGAAACAATTTTAAGCTAATTAAGAAAAAATTTCAGACTTTTAATGGCATTCTTTTTTACCATTGATTATAAATACCCTATTGATAATGAATGCATGTCATCTATTCATTTACAGGCACAGATAAAGCTACATTTATTAAAACCATTCTACTGTTTCTATTTTCTAGGAATTTCGATAGTGTTTTCTCATTTTATTTTAAATTGAGTTTTATTCCCTTGCTTTTTGCCTTCTACTTGTACCTTTTCATTTATAGTTTATAGATGTTTTTACCCAGTTCTTACCCTCCTGTCCTTCTTCCAATTCCAGCCTTTCATTTGGTTGCTTATTGCCTTAGATCCAGTATTTCAGTATTCTACTCCCTATTCCCCACTTGCCAGTGTGCTTACATTTAGGTTCTTGCTCTCCGTTCTGTTTCCCCTCATGTTTGCTTCTCAACCACTGTTTTCTAGGTTTGGTTTCTGGATTTTTGTATGGTTCCTGTTCTCTAACTGGTATAATCAAAACTGCAAGGATATAAGGAGAATTGGAAAGAAGAGGCATAAAGAGAATTGACATGTATTGAATGCCTATTCTATGCTAGGTGATTTAATTCTCATAAAATGTAGGTAGGTTTTATTATTATCTCCATTTTATTCATAAGTACACTGAAGCCCCAAGAGGTTAAATATTTTGTCCTAATTCACAGAGAAACTGAGTAATAGAACTGGGTTTCAAACCTATATTGGCTCATTTATTCATCCTTTTATTCAACAAATATGTATTGAGTATACATAATGTATGTTGGGCACTGTGCTAGGTGCTGCAACCCATCCAGCTCTTGCTCTCATGAAGCTTAACTGTGTGCTGGCATTGTCTGACTTCACAGATGGTGATCTTTCTGTTATACCAAACAGCTTTAGAGGACGAGAAAATTAAAAAGGAAATAGGAGGGTTCTGGTGTTTTATGGAAATGCTATATTTGATGTAGATGTAAAAAAAGATTATTTCGTGCATTATTTAGAATACCTTATCAAAGAGGTTGATTTGTGTCTAGTCCTACAAAGAGTCAAACAACTTCAGCACTCACCACTGTAGACACTGGTGCCTTTTAAATGGCATCACCACAGTACATACTTTCCTTTTATGTTCTCAAATAAAGAAAATTTGTGTCTATAGGCCCAAATTATCTAGAAGGTTCACCATTATTAATTGTACTCCCTAAATTATGTTTAGAAAAAGATGAAGACTTCTGTGTAAAGAATACATTTTTTCATCCATCCATCCATCATCCGTACAGTTGTTAATACTCTGAAAAATATTTAGGATGGTTTGCCCAAATACACAAAATACAACAGAACTTTTAATAAAATAAATGTGGGGAAATAAGGCAAGGAAAAATAAGATAAAATTAAGCTGTATTCTGTACTAGAAAGTGTCCATAGACTTGTCTTGTTTTCAAGGGTAACTTGATTCACAAGCATTACAATTTTCTAGAAAGACAAAAAAAAAAAAATGTGGCACAGAGCAGTACCAATTCCTAGGTATGACACTTAAGAAAGTTTCTCCAATGGCTCTTCCTAAAGAGGATCACAGAGAAATGTGGTATATAATGGTCTCAAACACTTCCCGATACAAATACGAGTTTCACTGAACCGTTTTATTGGATCCACTTGCATACAGTAAAACAATTCTTTGAAAAGTGAGAACAGGCATTCTAGGTAGACCACTGTGGCCAGACCAAATCTGATGGTGTCTTTTAGAGAATCTATAGAAATTAGTGAATTGCATCTCTTATAGGTAATTCTCATGTGTAATTTGTCAATTGGGTTTCTCATGTAGTAGGTGACATTGAATTTACACACTCTTTGAAGTGTGTTTTATTCACTACTGTAACATCAATGCCTAGAATAATACCTAGTACATAGTAGATGCTTAATAAATATTTGTTGTACGGATGGTTAAATGTTGTTATTTGAAGTATCTATTTAAGTGAAAGACTTCTTCTCAGCTATTTTTATATTTTTTTCATTTGCCCTTAAATAAAGTGTGCTGATACACGTTGGAGTACATCATCTTTACGTGATCCCAAATTCACTAAATGTTGAACATTGTTTATGTGACTTTTTCAAGCCCTATTGAAAGAATTCTTTTAAGATTGTTCTCAGTAATATTACAGGCTTGGTTTTTTAGATGCTAAGATTTTACAGTTTCTTAAAAAAGTTATAAACATCAATAAAGAAGTTTGTAATAAAGGAATAGTGTTTCTTCTCAGGAGACCTCAAAATCATACCAGATAATTTTAATTTGGAAAAAAATAGGTTCTGTATAATGCTAGCTTGACATTTCTTAGCTATATATTTAAATGAAAGGAATTAACTCCCAAACTTAGGAATTTAAGAATCTCTTAGAGAATTTAAAAACTTTCTATTTTTAAGGCAGGTTTTAATGAAAATCATAATGGTAGTGTTAAAATTTCCTTTTTAAAAATTATTTTTATTAGCATATAATGTATTACTTGCTTCAGGGGTACAGGTCTGTGAATCCTCAGTCCACACAATTCCCAGCACTCACCATAGCATATACCCTCCCCAAGGTCCATCACCCAGCCACCCTATTCCTCCCCTCCCTGTGTTAGTATTTCTTTAGAATTTCTGCCATTGTTAAATTCTGCATTATGCTGGGATTCAGTGGACCAATAATTCTGGTAATTCTTTATTCTATGTAATTATAAGGTATTAATAACTGATTTATATGCATCTTAAAAATTTATAAGATTGACCAGCATCTAACACATACTTGATGCATTTTACTTTGCCAAGTCCTTAACCTGAATTGCCCAGAACTACAATCTTATTTAATACTGTCCTACTACTTCTAATAAAATACTTAAAAAATCATTCTTTCTCTATATTCGTCCATAATTTGCCTTTTATTTCATTTGTCTTTCTTCTTACTTACTGGAATAGTTTATTTTGCAAGCTTTCTTCCTGTATTGCTCCCAATTACTGTAACCTGTTAACATCTATAGTAATAGAGAATTAGGAATGGATTCGATCATGTATTTCATGCATAACTTTTAGCCTAAAGCATATCTTTACCATCACAATATAAATATATACCTATTTTGATTGAACTTTAGAAAATTAAATTTTCCTGTCTTCATTCTCTTATTTCAGGTTTAACCACACTTGCCTTGAGAACGCACTATCTTAAAACTTATGTTGTATAGTGAAAGCCTATCACTTCATTGATTCTTTTTTAATATAACAAGATATGCAATTTGTATTGAAAATATAGAAGATGGTAAATTGAGTTTTCTTCTACCCAATACATGAGAAAGTTGACATGGTGACTTCCTGAGTTCGCTTTAATGATTATATCATTAAATCATAGAGATGGGAGAGACACAAAATGATCTCAGGTTTTAGGGATTAATTATTTCATAGGTAATGGTCAAAAAGTACCCTATTTCTTGCTCTATGAAAATCAGTTGAGCTATGATAGCAATCTAAGGCTACATCTTAAAATTTAGGTTATTAGATGAGCCTTACATCAAAAACCTCTGAGTTATAAGAGATAAGAAGGGTCTGCTAATATATAAAGTTCCCTGGATATCCTGGTTCTCAGCTTTTATTCACTGGTCCCAAAGAACTGAGTCTTGATATCTTAAAAACAATGTTTGGGGAACTACAAAGTATGGTCTATAGGAAACATGATTTATAATTATTTTTAAGTTAATTTTACTACTCTGCCTTCCTTCTTTTTGGCTACTTTCACTCAGTCTGCTATTTAATCTTTAATTTCAGGCCACAAAAGAAGTAATAGAACGGGAAGCGCCAGGGATGGCCCTGGCAATGCTGATGGGATCACTTAATGTTACACCTCTGGGCATGCTCTCTAGGTAAGAAAGTCATTAACATGTTGCAAAGAAAATTAATTCCATACCACTAATCACTATAGTAGACTGATAAACGCAAGAAACTTCAGTTAATAACACTTAAATTTGCTCCCTTTTTTCCCCAGAGTTAAGAGTCTTAGTATCCTGTCTAGGTAAATCTTGACCATTTTCCTTCAAGTTTTCCATTTTACATATTATGTTTAAACTTTTAGAAAATATAATTTGCTAAAAGGTGTCATTCATAACCCAAAGAGTCCAGTTTACTAAGATGTAAAATTATTTTTGTGTGTGATTATTTATAATCATCAGTTAACATTCATTAATTGTCATCAAATGCTAATTTAATAAAACAAAACAGTAGAGGTTTTTTTTCAATAAGTTATTCTCATGTTAGGAATTTGTAAATAGGCATATTCATGTATGGTCATAAAAAGAAGCTGGATTAATAATATATTGGTAGTATATTATGTTAGTATATTTAACACTATGCCTTTATTGACATAGATGTTGACATCCATTCCCTGTGTGATGTTATTGTTTTACTAACTGTTAGATTAAAATCTCCTTTAATGATGACAACATACATCATTTAAATTAAAGACAGACCTATCAACTTAGTGAGAATTTGTTGATTTAATGACCATTGAATAATAGACAATGGATCTCAGAGCAAGCTAAAAATACACGGCAACTTTATAATTGCATGGTTTCATAATCATTACATATAACCATTTATTCATCCTGTGTGCAATATGAATGCAAAACTAAGTATATCTACATAACACATGGAATATGAATCATAATGCCTTTTCTGTTACTTAGACAGGGTTTATATCCCATTAATAGCAGACACTTGAATCACAACTACAGGAAAATGAGAATTGGTCATTAGTTACTATATTCTTTTTGCTATTACAGGTACTATAACATTTAATTTAAGTAAGAGCAAAAAAGAATTACAATAGCATGTAGAAATTTTAAATTTAAAAGTCCATGCTGATCTTTAAGGAACTTACATTGATTCTTTCATGCTGTTCTTTTTTTTTTTTTTGTAAGATTTATTATTATTTTTTTTTTTTTCCAGAGAGTATAGTAGGGAAGGGCACAGAAAGGAGACAGAAACACAAGCAGACTCCATGCTGAGCACAGAGCCCAACGTGGGGCTTGATCTCATGACCCTGAGGTCACATCTGAGCAAGAGTGAGAGTCAGACACTCAGTCGACTGCTCTACTCAGATGCCCCTATGCTTCTCTTTTTTAAACTAATATTACCTATACTTCTGAGGTCAAGGGTCACATTTGATCCCTTTTCTCTATGGAATTAAGTAGTGCCTTTGAACATAAAAGAACTCTTTCTTGGCATGCAAGGATATAGTAAAGAAAAAATTGAACTTCATCTCTTTTTGTAATAAAAATCTAATTCAGCAAACGTAATGATACTCTGTTTGCTAGGCCCCGTATTAACCATCAGGTATACTAAGGATAGAAAGAAAATTAAGACATGGTCCTCACCTTAAGGATCCCACAGTTTAGCTGGAGAAATCATTCTTTGCCGCTGTTAAAGTAACTCTTTAGAGCTTTCTTGATCCAGTATAGAAATAGCACTTTTTGTTTTCTTGAAAGATTTTCCTGGATTAATTCCTCTTCTCCCTTCTGAATCCACATAATAGCTGAGGACTGGACTGCTGAGTGAATGGAAAATTAATCAGCAGGAGTTGATTCTAAGTACTTTGGAATAAGTCCATCATCTTTATGCTGAAGGCTTTGAAAATTAAAGTAAATATGGAACATGGTAACAGATTCTTTTGGCTATTTTTTTCTGTTCATTGCTGACTAAACTCAGAGTTTATTTACAAATTTAAAACAGAGAGAGTAGTCTATGTGAGTTATGCATAAGAAATTGGAATACTTTCCCAAATGTTCATTTTTTTGTGAACATTTTCTAGGTCTTTTTAAAAATTACCTTTTTAAAACAGCCATGATTATATCGATGCTTCCTTTCTACAGCATTTTCACCTTGTGTGTACTTTGGGCTTTGTACATGCTTCTATTATAGCACATGCTATATTTGTAATTATGTACTTATTTGTATCACCTCATTTGTATGAAATCCCTAAGAACAGGAACTTTTCTCTTATTCATTTTTATATCCTCAGATTCCAAAACAACTGACATGTAGTAAGAACTCAAAAAATGTTTATTGTTATAATTACTGTTGATAAATCAGTGTTTCATCCTAATTCTATAGAATTTTTTTTCAAAGTAATATATCAAAATTGTTACCTTGCCTTCCTGTTTTTATCTCTAGACAGTAGCATTAAATAAAAATATTTTTTTTAATTACTAAATCTGTTTAAAATGGTTTTCATCTGTGTGATGAAATATCCTCTAGTTTTTTTGTGCAAGTCAGTTACAAGATAGTATCAAGTAATAGTTAAGACCATCTTCTCTGAAGCCAGACTGCTTGGGTTCCATCCTGGCTCTACTATTTACTAGCTACTTAACATTTTTGAGGGATTTTTTCCTCATCTACATATGAGGATGTTAATAGTACTAACATTTTTGGTTTAGGTGAATTCATATAAATTGCTTAGAACAACAACTAATTCATAAGTCTTATTTAAGTGTTGATCATTGTTGTGTTGTTATTGGCTGAGAGCAAGTATGCTGATATAACCTTCTAATAACTTTCCTTCTTCTGGAAATATCTTCATTTTACCTTTGTTCCTGAAGGATATTTTCACTAGATACAGAATTCTGGATTGGCAGTCATTTTCTTTCAGCACTTTAAAAAATATTTTTCCACTGTCTTCTGGCTTTGTGTCTTCTACCAAATTTAAGTGATTCACAGAAAGCAGTGCTAACAGGGAATGTTATAGCTGTAAATGGGTTAAGAAAGAAAACCCTTGTTTTTTACATTAAAAAAAAAATCTCATGAGATGCTTGGGTGGCTCAGTTGGTTAAGCATCTGCCTTTGGGGCAGGTCATGATCCGAGAGTCCTGGGATTGAGTCCCGCACTGGGCTCCTTGCTCAGTGGGGAGCCTGCTTCTCGCTCTGCCTGTCACTCCCCCTTGCTTGTGCTCACTTGCTCGCTCTCTCTCTGACAAATAAATAAAAGCTTTAAAAAAAAAAAAAAAGGATCTCAGAAACAACTACATAACATTAAAATTTAAGGAACTTGACAAAAAAACAAATTAAATCCAAAGCTAGCAGATAGAAGAAAATAAAGATTAAGGCAGAAAGAAATAAAATAGAAATGGAACAATAATAAAGAAAAATCAGTTTAAATATTGACTCTTTGAGAAGATCAACAAAACTGAAATTTTTAGCTATATTGACCAAGAAAAAAAGGAGACGGTCTCAAATTACTAAACTCAGAAACAAAAATGAGGACATTACTGCCAACTCTATAGAGATAAAAAGGACTATAAGAGAATACCATGAACAACTGTATGTCAATAAATTGGATACCCTAGATAAAATGGAAAAATTCCTACAAACACAAAACCTACTTAGATAGAATCAGAAAAAAATAGAAAATCCACATAGATCTGTAATTAATAATGAGATTGATTCAGTAATCAAAAACTTAACCTACAAATAAAATGACTGTACTAGATGGCTTCACTGGAGAACTATACCACACATTTAAAGGAAAACAGTCACCAGTCCTTCTCAGACTCTTCCAAAAAATGGGAAAAAAAGGAAATACTTCCTAACTAATTCTATGGGATCAGCATTGCCTTGATACCAAAGCCCGACAAAGAACTACAAGAAAACTATAGACCAGTATCCTTTACGAACATTGATGTAAAAATCTTCAACAAAATGCTAGCCAAACTAATTCAGCAGTTTATTAAAAGGAATTTATAACATGAGCAAGTGAAATATATCCCTAGAATGCAAAGATGGTTTCAACATATGAAAAGCAATCAATGAAATATACCACATACAGAAAAAGCATTTGACAAAATTCAGCATGTTTTCATATTAATGAAACTCAACAAACTGGGAATAGAAGGAAACTGCCTTAACAAATTAAGGCTTATATTTCAAAACATACAGTTAACATCATAATGGTGAGAGACAAAACTTTTGCTCCAAAGTAAGAATAAGAGCAGGATGAACACTTTTGCTACTTTCATTAAACGTACTATTAGAAATTGTAGCCAAAACATTAGGCAGGAAAAAGAAATAAAAGGTTTCTAAATTAGGAAGGGAGAAGTAAATTTTTCTGTTTGTCTTAATCTTATTTGTAGAAAACCTAACAATTCTACACACACACATACACACACACACACACACACACTCACTCTCTCTCTCTCTCTCTCACATACACACACACCCAATTAGAACCAATACATATATTCAGCAGAGTTAAAGATATATAATCAATATGCAAAAATCAGTTGTGTTCCCATTCATAACAATGAAAGATGCAAAAAGGAAATTTTGAAAACAATTCAACTTAAAATTGCATCAGAAAGAATAAAATACTTAGTAATTAACTTAATCAAGGACGTGAGAGACGTGTACACTGAAAACTAAAATTTTGCTGACAGAAATTAAGGAAGATTTAAATGAATGGACGTAAGTTCATTGTTTATGGTTTGGAAAACAATATTGTCCAAAAACAAAATTATCCAAAGCAATTTGCAGATTTAATTCAATCCCTATCAAAATACAGCAACATAACTTTTTGCAGAAATAGAAAAATCCATCCTAAAATTTATATGGACTCTCTAGGGGCCCCACAGAGACAAAACAACCTTGGAAAAAACAACAAAGCAGGAAGACTCCTGCTCCCTGATACCAAACTGACTGCAAGGTTACAATAATCAAAAAAGTTGTACTAGGATTAAGTCAGATTTTTAGGCCAATGGAATAGAATAGAGAGGCCAGAAATAAACTTTTTCCTATAAGGTCAAATGATTTTTGAGAAGGGTACCAAGACAATTCAGTAAGGATAAAGATAGTCTTCAACAAATGATACTGGGAGAAC